GAAATAAACTTGTGAATCCTAACTCAACTAAAACAGGAATGATTTTAACGGTATAAACAGGTTTTAAAACATCTCCTCTCATCCAGACGACACCTTTTTCAGGGAAACGGTGCAAATTCAAGACAAAGTTAAACCACATCCTGCATCCATTACAACATCATAGTAGAAGTGTCCAGGTGCTAAACTGAGCTGTCAAGAACGCTTATCAACTAAAAACAACTAGTGCATTATGAAATTTTTTAAAAAACCATCCAAGTAAACTGTAGAACAGYTAGAATCCTCCATCGGACCATTAYAAGACAACATTCTCAGTTTACAGACTGTAGTTAAAGGAAGAGGGGATGTTTCACAATGCAAACCATCATATTCTCCCTTTAATTTACATTTTACACAACAGCCCAACTTTGTGTAATTTGGGTTTTAAATGTGTGTCAAACTGAGTATTTTTGTTACTGCAAATGTCTGTAATTAAACTGAGAAATGTAACATCAATCATATATCTTATGAAGCTGTATCTATGTTCGGTCAGAATACTGTAGAGCAGCGGTGCCCAAACATTTTCCCCAAGAGGGCCAAAATGAAAATCTATCCATGGCTGCGGGCCAATTACAGTAATACATGAAATACAAATACTTTTTTAAAGTAAAGTCCTTTATTTTTAACGATTAAGCTATGCAATGGCCCTCTTTTGTTTTAGTCTGTGCACTTGGAGAAAGTCTGCCATACGCTCAAGCAGCAAAGGCTCATGGGACATTTCATAAATTGATAAAATATGAGCTTTGTGGCCTCACAAAGTGTGAAAATCTACATGTGGGGTTAAATCTGATCTAGGGCTGAAACGATTCCTCRAATAATTAGAGTAAATTCGATTACAAAAAAAATCCTCGAGTTAAAATTTATCTGCCTCGAAGCTTCGTTAAAAAATACATAGTTATAATCAGCGCACGTTCATCCGCCCAGAATGTTATTTGTGTTACACACAATGCTACGATGTTAGCGCTTCCGCTAACAGTTAAGGCTCCCACATACACGGGCGCACACAGTCCGAGGAGGTCCGAGCGGACTCGAGCACAAGTATATGGTTGGCCTTGGCTACAAGTACATCTTGCTGCAGCCAAAGCGGACGTCCGCCGGACTGGACCGCACAGAGATAATTTTTTACATCCACTTATGCATACTCGGTGTCGCACAATAARCAGCCCGAYGAGAAACAGGACCTCGGACTGTCGACGCGTCATGCGTGTTTGTTTGCTAAGCGCTATATTTAGCTTCAGAAGAAGACGAAGAGTGCTGAAACGAAGCGCTCAGAAAATGACAAATTATAAAAAGCATGGGAACATTTAAGACTAAACAAAAAAGATGACAATGTGCAACGCTCTGCACATCCTTGATGTTTCTGCACAGGAACAAAAACAGCTGCTGCATGACCCGAAAGTGTGCGGAGTTAACAACAGGTATCGTTCACGTTCACTTTGGTTACCTAAATCTGTGATAATCTGTCATGTTACAGATGTATAAGGAGGATGCGGCTTACAGTCCGGTGCGGCTTATACGTGGATTTTTTCTTCAGCCACCAGGGGGCTCTTATGCTCCATTCGCTTCAACCACTAGCTTCAAAAGAAGAAGAAGAAGAAGAAAGAACGAAGAAGAAGAAAAAAAAAGAAAAAAGCGATCGCTTCCAGAGCCGACTGTTGTATCAGGAAGCAGCGATTTAAAGATAGTCAATGGCAAAAAACTCATAAAAGGGGATAAAACAGACATTTTTCACGGTGGAATCTGACTGATAAAAACTTTGGAGCTTAATCCAGGACCAGTTTGTGGATAAACGTCGAGTGAAGAGCCGCAGACTTTTTTTCCTCATTACACTCCATGGGGAAGGAATCCCATGCAGC